GCAAGTTCAAGTTGAAACTGAAGAAAATTTTTTAAAAGTCGACGAGAACCAAAGTACAACCTGAGTATGTCCCACCTGAATTTAGAGACCATCTCAAGAATAGGTTTGGTCCATCGATCACTAATGACCCAAGACCAGACAAGTTACAGGATGACATCAAGGGTATCATACAAAGAAACCAAAAGGTCCCTAAAAAGACAAGAAAGAACCCCTAAGACTATGGCCCTTAGACATCCTTCCCACCTGGAACTGAACCCACCCCCCGGGGATCACCTTTCAGCCAAACAATAGACAAGCCTGTAAAGTGAATAATAACACCTTGAGGAACATACTCCTCAGAACAATCAACCATATGAAGCCAAAAGGGTACCATTTGCCCAAAAATAAAAGTTCAGAAGGCAGGAAGGGGCAGGAAAGAACAGTGGAAATGAGGAACTCAGGGAGGTAGTGGGAAGAGTGCAGTTACATTGAGGGGACTGCAACTAATGTCACGAAACCAAATGTGCATAAATTGTTGAATGGAAACAAATATGCTCTGTAAACTTTCATGCAAACCACAATACAATGTTTAAAAATAAAAAAGAGACTATGAAACTTGCTCTTGAACACAAACTATCTGAAGCAAATAGAAGAAATGAAGTGAAAGAGCTGAACAGACAACTTCAAAGGCAGCTCGAGAAGTCAAAGTAAAGTATTGTAATGAAATGTGCAAAGACCTGGAGTTAGAAAACAAAAAGAGAAGAACATACTCAGGATTTCTCAAACTGAAGAAGTGAAGAAAAAATTCAGGCCTTTAGTTGCAATATCAAAGGATTCTGTGGGCAAAATACTGAATGACACAGAGTGAATCAAGAGAAGATGGAAGGAATACACAGTCACTGCACCAAAAAGAATTTCAGGAAGTAGCATAAGAGTAAGAACTGACAGTATTGAAATGCTGGTGAGGAACATTCTTCTCAGAAAGTTCAACTATTCGAGACCAAGAGGGCAACATTTACCCAAAAGCAAAATTTAGAAGGCAGGAAAGTTGGCAAATGGAAACAAGGAATCCAGAGAAGAAGGGTGAAGAGTGCTGACACATTGAGGGGACTACAACCAAAGTCATGAAATAATGTATAAACTGTTGAATGGGAAAACTAATTTGCTTTGTAAACTTTCATCTAACCCACAATAAAATGTCAAAAAATAAAAACCAATGGTATTGAAGAAGTCCAAGCTGTACTGAAGGTACTGGCTAAAAACAAGGCTACAGGAATTGATGGACTACTAAGTGAGATGTTTCAATAAATAAAGGCACTTATTTGTCTATGCCAAAAATGGAAAACAGCCACCTAGTCAACCAAGTGGAAGAGATCCATATATGTGGTCATTCTAAAAAAAGATGATCCAACAGAATGCAGAAATTATCATTTATATCAAATGCAAGTAAAATTTTGCTGAAGATAAAAACAATTGCAGCAGTACATCAACAAGGAACTACCAGAAATTCAAGCTGGATTCAGAAGAGGACATGGAGTGAACAGATATCACTTCTGATGTCAGACGGAATTTGGCTGAAGACAGAGAACACCAGAAAGATGTTTACCTGTGTTTTAGTGACTATGGATCATAACAAATAAGAACTTACATAGACCAAGAAGTAGTAGTTCTAAAAGACCAAGGAGATATGTATGGTTTAAAATCAGGAAAGGTGTGTGTCAGGATTGTATCCTTTCTTCATCATAGTTACTCAATATGTTGTTGTTATGTGCCATCGAGTCAGACCCAACTCATAGCGACCCCTCCTTGGGTTTCCGAGGCAGTATCACTACAAAAGTAGATTGGCCCATCTTCCTTCTGAGGAGTGGCTGGTGGGTTGGAACCTCCAGCCTCTGGTTAGCAGTCAATTCCCTTAGCACTACGCTACCAGAGCTTCCACTCAATCTGTATGCTAAGCAAATAATCCAAGAAACTAGACTATATGAAGAAGAGTGTGGCATTAGGATTGGAGAACCACTCAAGAACAGTCTACGAGGGAACATCAAACTCAATTGGCATAACATACTACACAAAACATTGTTCCATCTCCTATTGTGGTGAGTAGTGACTGGGATTTTAAAAGCTTGCAAGCAGCCATCAAGATGCAACGATAGGTCTGTCCTCATCCAGAGCAAAGAAAAATGAAGAAAACCAAAGATTCATGGAAACAATTAGTCCTGGTGACTGGCACACCATGCAGTCTGCAGCCTATACAACTATGAGACCAGAAGAACTAGATGGTGCCAGCTACCACTGTCAACCACTTGGAGGGGAATCTATGTAGGAGATCCTGGATAGAGAGAGAGAACAATGTGGAACAAAACTCAGAATCATTTGGGAAAAAAAAGGGGTGAAGGGGGGACCAGGTTCACTGGTCTGATAGAGCCTAGTAGAACCACTGAGACTATGGTCCCTAGCTGCCCTTCAGGTCTAGAATTGAACCCACACCTGTGGCTTCCAGCCAAGCAAAAGACAGGCATAGAAGTTGAACATTTACCTGAGGTAGATACACTCCTTGGAGAGAACAATCATGGGAGACAGAAGGTCTGTTTATGCACAGGGAGACAGCTCAGAGGCCAGGAGTGCATGGAGGAATGGACGTAGGGAAGAGGTAACTATTGGGAGGAGGTGGGAGGGGAGCTGTTGCATTGGGGTAAATTTTAGTCAGTGCTATGAGACAAAGTGTGTGTGAACTTCTGTATGGAAAGTGAATTTGCTCTGTAAATTTTCACCCAAATCACAATTTAAAAAAAAAAACAGTCTGCGATATGCAGATGATACAGTATTGCTTGCTGAAAGTGAAGATGACTTGAAGCAGTTACTGATGAAGATCAAATGCCTTCAATATGGATTCAGCTCAACATAAAGGAAACAAAAATCCTCACAACTGCACCAATAACCAACCACATGATAAACGGAGAAAAGACTGAAGTTGTCAAGGATTTCATTTTACTTGGATCCACAGTCAATGCCTGTGGAAGCAACAGTCAAGAAATCAAATGATGTATTGCATTGGGCAACAGACCTCTTTAAAGTGTTAATAACCAAAGATGTCACTTTGAGAACTAAGGTGTGCCTGATCCAAGCCATGGTATTTTCAGTCGCCTCATATGCATGCGTGCAAAAGCTGAACGATGAATAAGGAAGACTGTTTTGGTTACCTCTGTGCTGCTCTAAAAGAAAATATACCACAAATGGTATGGCTTCAACAAACAATTTATTCTCTTACCGTTTGGAGGCTTTAAGTCTGAGGGCAAAGTGCCAGGCTCTAGGGGCTGGATGAAAGCCCCTCAACCTTGGGCCTCAGGTCTGCCTTCTGCTCCCAATCCACTGAAGCTGGAGGCTTTTCTTCACTCAGGTGCTGGCTGCTGAGGCTGACAAACCCAAGGTCGACAAGTAACAAGGCACAGTCCTGATATTACCAAACCACATAGGAGGCCATTAATTCAAGTCCATTAAAAGTCCCAAGATCAACAGAACATGGCAGGCTGCTGAACAACGGCTCATCTATTTACACAGTTCAAACTTTACCACAAGCTAAAGACCATTCCCGAAGCTGCTGCTTATATACAGGAAGCAGACCACATCCCTAAAGCAGCTACCCAGCTGCTTGTGGTAGATCCCACCATGGAGCTAATTGCCAGTCTCATCTTGAGGAATAACTACCACCAGCTGCCCAGCCACTCAACCAGGCCCAACCAAGTTGACACACAAACTTAACTACCACAAAGACTGAAGGAGAATTGATGGCCTTGAATTATGGTATTGGCAAAGAGTGTTGAATATACCCTGTACTGCCAGAAGAACAGACAAATCTGTCTTGGGAGAAGTAGAGCCGGAATGCTCCTTACAAGTGGGGATGGCAGGACTTCACCTCACGTAGTTTGGACACGTTATCAGGAGGGACCATTCCCTGAAGAAGGGCATCATGCTTGGTAAGCAGCAAAGAGGCAGACCTTCAAGGAGATGGACTGCGACAATGGACTCCAACATAGCAAGTATTGTGAGGATGGTGCAGGACCAGGTAGTGTGTTTCATTCTGTTGTACATAGGGTCACCGTGAATCAGAGCTGACTCGATGACACCTAACAACAACAGGATTCTAAGAGAATTGCCTCCTCACTCCCAGCCCTTCTCCACCTCAGGGCAGCACACACACACTGGCAGACAGCTTCCTCCCTGAGTTAAACCTGGCCAAGGAAGCCAGTCCCACCATCTCAAAGCCCTGGGAACTGCAGTGGAGGAAGGGTAGCACAGGAGGAGGTAAGAGGGCGAAGGCAGGTGAGCCAAGAGCCAGTAAGGGTCTTGCTTCATTTGGGACAGACATCCGGTTTCATCTGGCCTCTGCCAGGATTCCGGGGGCTTAAAAGAATGAGTCATGGGGGGTGTACTAGGGAGTTCCCAGCTAACCAGCTCTGGACAGCCTGCAATTTGGGATGGTGCCTATCAGAGTTGTGGGGGCAGAAGGTTAAACTCCAGTGCCTCCATCTCGGCTTTCTGGGCTCTCCAGAGGGGCCCAGAAAGGAAGCCTCCTGGGAGTTTGAGGATTAGGAAGAGGGAAAACTAACATCTTCCTTCTCTCTCAGATTTTGGGGGTTTGGGGAATAGGTGGCTTGAGAATTCCAAGAGAGAGGGGCTAAGGGGCTGCTCAAGCCCACAGCTGGAGGCTGGAGGCTGGAGGAGGGAGGAGGCAGCAAGAGGCTGACCTCCTCCCTCATCAATCTGATAAACTCCATCCTCCATTGCTTTCCCCCAGGGCTCAGCCTTTGTTCAGCTGTTCTGTTCAAACACCCTAGGGCATTTCAGGCCCGGGTGGGGCTGGGGGGAGGATGGGGTTTGAGGGGGACCATACGTCAAAGAGGAATCAGGCATTCCGCAATTTCACAAAACTTTCGCAAACAGCTTTCTGAACCACCCCCCTGTATTGTCCTGGACATCAAATTTGCATAAAGCCTAGGAAATCATTACTAAGCCTTAGTCGCCGCACCAGGTAATTTCCTCCCAGGCCTCCATGGGGTTCTGTATAAAGGCCCTCGCGAGCTGGCCCCTGGCAGAGCCCAGAGTCTGCAGCCCAGACCCACCTAGACCCATGGCTGATCCTGCCGCCCTGAGCCCGTTGAAGCTGATGGGTGAGTGTCTGGCCTGTGGGCACTGAAGGGAGGCGGAGTGGCAGAGGGGCTGGGGAGCCTTCTGGTTCTGGGAATGGGGATTAGGACCAGCTAGTGTCCGCAGAACGGGGTCTGGTGGGAGTGGACGGCCTGTGCCCTGAGCCCCGTCTGTCTGCTCTCAGCCCTGCTGCTGCTCTGGCACAGTGCACTGTGGACAGTGCAAGAAGCCGCCCCTCTGGGCCCTGCCAGCTCCCTGCCCCCGAGCTTCCTGCTCAAGTGCTTAGAGCAAGTGAGGAAGATCCAGGCTGAAGGAGAGGTGCTGCAGGAGAGGCTGGTGAGTGGGGAGTCGGCAAGACAGGAGGGGGATGCAGAGGTCTCCCCAGCAAGAGGGGGCAGAGCGGAGAGCTGTATGGAGAGGGAAGGGCCACGGCAGGGGAAGGAGACACAGCAAAGACATCAGAGGAGGAGTGGAGGGACAGGAGAGGGAGACACGTGGGCGAATGGAGGAAAATCAGGAGCCCACTGGGACGGAACTGGGGAGGAGAGCCGCGGGGGCTGGGTGGAAGTAGAGGGGAGAGGACCCAGGGCATCACCAGCAGAGGACAGAGTGGAGCGGGGCTGAGAAGCCTGGCAGGACATAGGGTGAGGAGGACCCGGGAGGGAGGGGCAGCCACCCTGGCGGTGGCCCCTCACTCAGCATCTCCCCATCCCCAGTGTGCCGCCCACAAGCTGTGCCACCCTGAGGAGCTCGTGCTGCTTGGGCATTCTCTGGGCATCTCCCAGGCTCCCCTGGGCAGCTGCTTCAGCCAGGCGCTGGAGCTGGTAAGTGTCTGGAGGGCAGGGGCGGGGAGGGGGCGGACACCCAGGCCCACCCTAGCAGCCAGCCACTCCCTAACCTCTCACATTCCGTACCACCAGACAGACTGCCTGAGGCAACTCCACAGTGGCCTTTTCCTTTATCAGGGCCTCCTGCAGGCCCTGGCCGGGATTTCCCCTGAGGTCGCCCCCACCTTGGACTGGCTGCAGCTAGACATTGCCGACTTTGCCACCAACGTCTGGCAGCAGGTGAGCGTGCTCTGCAGCAGAGCTGGGAAGACAAGGGGCCTTGATGGAGCCATGACCATGCAGCTCACAGGGCAGGGGGTGGCATGCCTGGGGTCTTGGCTGTTCTCTAGGGTTGGGATGGGAGTGTTCTTTAGGGCTTGTTTATTGGGACCAGCAGTCCACCCCGGGGTCCTCTCTCTTCTCTGCTGGCCCACTTCCATGCTTCCTAATTGACAACAGGGGGACAGATCACTGGACCTTGAAACAGGAAACCTGGGTTCAAGTCCTGATTCTACACTAGCCACGGATCTTCAGTCTGTCAGTTCTATGAACATTTTGTCCACAGTAATGCCCACAACAGCCCTGATTACTGACCTTACCTTTCCCCCAACAGATGGAAGATATGAGGGTGGCCCCTCCAGGGCACCCCACCCAGGGTCCCATGCCGACCTTCACCTCTGCCTTCCAGCGCCGGGCGGGAGGGGTCCTGGTTGCCTCCAACCTGCAGAGGTTCCTGGAGCCGGTGTACCGAGTTCTGCGCTACCTTGCCCAGACCTGAGGAAACCCTTCCCGGGCACTGTATTTATCTCTATTTAATATTTATCTTTATTTAAACCTAATATTTAAAGAGGGAAGAGTAGGAAAGAGCCTCAGACTTCTGGGCCTTTTCCTCCATCTCCCTGTAACAGGGAGAAAAGCTCCTGTCCTCTGGTCCCCTGGACTGGAAGATAGATAGGTAAATACCAAGTATTTATTCCTGTAACGGCTCCCATGCCCACTCTGTGGTGGGCACTGGGAAAAGCCACTGTGAACCCTCTGCCCCAAGGGCACCCACTTTGGAGCCCTTGGGAGTACCAGTTCTCCCACGTGGGAGACAAATCATCCCTGTTTAATATTTAAACAGCAGTGTTCCCCAAGTGGGTCCCTCTAACCTGCACTCTGGCCTCCACTTGCCTCTGGACTGCCAGCTCTGCTGGCCCTGCTTTCCTCCCCATTCCTCTTCCCCACGGGCACCGACTCCTGCACAAGCAGAGGCACCAGAGCTGGGAGCCCTGGCCCTGGGGTCCCATGACTTGGCTGGGGAACTCCAGCTTTTCTTTAGGAGTTTTGGGGCATGTTTTGAGTGCCAGCAAGGAGCTCAGGCATCACTGGTGTTTCTCACATTTTTCTGGATGCCCTATAAGGATGATAGGCACCAAACCCTTTGACGGCCAGGCAGATGGTCATGTTTGCCCCCCTGGACCAGGGTTGGGATGGTGGGAGGGAAATGATGAGGGAGGAATGATGCAAGAGAGGCTAACAGGGAAATCTCCATCATTCACCTTCCACCTCTGCCCCCACTTTCTCACTGCAGCCAAGCTTCAGGATAATAAAGTGTTTTTCTGCAGAAAATGTCTTCCTTCTTCTCTGTCTAGCTGGTGCCTGGCCAGGGGTTAAGGGTGGTGGTGAGTGGTGGGCAAGGTAGAGGGAGAGAGGAAGAGGAGGTGCAGGGACGTTTAATCCTTTTGCATTTATTTGAGCACTTACTCTATATAAACACTGGGCTAAGCGTAGGGACCCAGCAGTGACCAAGGCAGACACGGTTCCTGCCATCATGAAGCCACAGGCTAAGGAAGAGAGAAAACACATTGACCACTGGTACTGGGAATGGATGGGGCAGAGCTCCATCTCACCCCCTTCAGACTGGGCTGAAGCACAGGGCTCATTCATTTAGCACCTTCCATACACACAAACCCATCCACCTCATGATTGGTCACACTTATTAGATGCAATTATGAATCCAGGCCCTGTACTCCCCTGCCTCATCAAGCTCTACCTCTGACCTCAAGATCATGCTCATCCCTGCTGGTCATGTTCCTGCTGGGCTCATGCTCATGGGCTGAAAAGCCTGAGGAGGGTGGGAGACATGGAGGAGATGGCGTTCCCACCTCTGATGCCAGGACTTACTCTTCATGCCCTGCAGCCGAAGACTCAAGTTCGGGTCCTCGTTGCCCCCACTAGACTCGGGGAGGTCAAGACAGCCAAACGATCCCCAGTCCCACCATCCTGCCAAGCCTTCTCCATCCTCAATCAATCACCTCTCGCTGCCCTTATCCACAGAGTCTCTTAGAAAGCAGGGTCTGGCCAACCATGGCTAAAACCCTCAGGTGCCCAGCTCATGGTCCTACACTTCTGTTTGTTCTGAAGAAAGCGGGCTTTGGAGAAGTGTGGAGCAGGCAAGGGAGGGTTAAACAGAGTTCCTGTCCCTCATCCTCCCCAGGCTTTCTCCAGAGGGGACAGACCAGACTCCAGACAAGTCAGACTTGGGGTAGGGTTGGCCTCAGTTGGGACTGACTTAGAACAAAACACCCTAACCCAGCACCAGTGGGGCCTTTAGCCAAAGCCTCTCCCTTCTGAGGGTGAGTCTGACTATGGAGGGTGGGGGAATAGGGTGGCTGCTCTCACCCCTATGGCCCTCCCCCAAGCTGAGGGAACAAACATAGAAACCTGAGCCCAGCCCTCTTGTACACCTCCTCCTCCCTCCTCAACCACAGAATTGAGCCTCTCCCCAGGCCGCAGTGCAAGGGATTCCAAGAGGACACTGATCCCCATCCCCAGTCAGGTATAGGCCATGACAGCACTCACAGTCACAAAGGGACCCACAAGGACCTGGTGAGACCCCTGAAACTATAGCCCCTAGTTACCCTTCAGGTCTGGAACTGAACTCTTTCCTGTGGCTTTCAGCCAAACAACAGACCGGCATATGGGGTGAATATTTATATCAGGTAGATAGACTCCTTGGAGGGATCAATTGTGGGAGAACAGAAGAGCAGTGTACACAAAGGGACGCAGCTCATGAGACTGGAGTGCCTGGGAGGCAAGGACACAGGGAAGAGGTAACTACAGGGAGGAAGTGAGAAGAGAGCTGTTACACTGTGGGGAACTGCAGTCTATGTCATGAAACAAAATGTGAATGAACTACTATATGGAAATGAATTTGCTCTGTAAACTTTCACCCAAATCACAAATAAAAATTTAAAAACAAAAAGAGACTCATAAAGATCTTTATTTATCTTTATTTACAGGAGAGTTGGGCAGGGGTGAACATCTTCTCATGTATATATACAAAAAACCTATGTATGTACACTATGCATCTATAAAGTTCTTCATCTCCTCTTGGGATATGAGCCGGCACCCACAGAGGGTGACTGCCCTGGGACACAGGAACCCAGCTGCTCACACTCTCAGGGGAGAGGGAAGAGGAAATTACGAAAGAAACCAGGACATGTCTTAGAGGTCAGAGGTCACAGGAACAGTAAAAAGATTTGGAAACTGACAAAGGACTCATACCACGAGGATATGAGCAATGATGCCTCATCTTTGCTCACTGTTCTCTTCAGAGCTGCCTGGGGCTGGATCTACCCAGCCAGCCTGTGGCCACGCCAAGGCCCTCTCAGAGGGCAGCAATGGCTTTGGCAGCCACCTGGCGACCCAGGGGCAGGCTGAGGTCCGTGATGGCCAGTACAACCTTGGGGCTGGACATGGCTGATACCTTCACCAGTTCGGATACCTGATAGACAGACAGACAGTGCTGCTCATAGCGGATGTGATGTCACAGGAGATCCCCTTCCCTACTCTGAAGGCTGGCCCTGAACCCAAAACTCAACTGAGAGGTGCTGACTCCATCTGATCGAGAGGTGGCCCAGCCAGCCCAGAGGCCAGGTACTCACCGTGGTAAAGGGCATGAACTGTAGGATGCTGCTCCGGCTGTCCTGCTCCAGGCAGTCCACGCACTCTTCCATGAACCACTGCACAAACTGGGTGTGAGGGCCTGCGGTCCGTGAGCCCAAGATGGAGGAGATGAGCAGGAACAGGTTGGCTGTGCAAGAGCAGGGAGAGCAAGATGCGAATTCCATGAGAAGGGTCTGTGAAGACACTAGTCTCTGGGAGAAGCGGGACCGAAATGGGAAAAGGAAAGGGAAAATGCTAAGAACGTCAAAAAATGGGGGTGCCGGAGGCAGTATAAAGGGAAAACTGGGGGAGAACAGGAAGAGGGCCTAAGTGGGAAGCCTTAGGGAGACAGAAGAGCTCGCAACCCATGGAACTGGAAGAAAGGTGGTGAAATGGGTAGAAGGAGGTGAGAGGGCACAAAGAGGGGGCACCAGGCAGGGGCGCTTGAGCTCTGGTGGCACAGTGCCTAAGGCACTTGACTGCTAACCAGAAGGCTGGTGGTTCAAACCCACCAGCCACTCCTTGAAAGGAAGATTGGGCAATCTACTTCCACAGTGATGCTGCCTCGGAAACCCAAGGGGGATTGCTATGAGTCAGAATCTACTCGATGGCAGTGAATTTGATTTGTTTTTTGGTAGGTGGGGGTGAGGCTCGGCTCCGCTTGGCCTCCAGGTTCCAGGGTGGGGCAGAAGGGACTCACCCAGGACTCGGTTCAGAGGGTCTCTCATGTTGACTGTGTGGAGCTGGGAGGCCGAAAGGGAGCTGCTCATGGACCGGTCAGCTGTGGAATCAGTGGAGGGGCACTGAGGAAACAGCCTACCACACTCAAAACCAACCCCTGACAGTTCTCCACCAATCTGGCAGGGTAGAGAGTGTGTGGAGATTGCAGAGAAGACCCTTAGATCAAGAGTCAGAGGGTTCTGTTGAGGGTGACAGAAAAATGTGGAAACAGATCGTGGTAAGGGTTGAGCAACACCATGAATGTAATCAATGTCATCAACTTGGATGTGAAAAATGTGGAAATGGTTTGTTATATGTATTTACCACACACACACAAAAGGGGGGTGGGCCTGAATACAGAGACCCGCACAGCGGGGACGAGAGAAGACTGAACATGTTTTCCCACTTGGTAAGCACCACCACATACCCACTGTGGGGCCTGGCATGGATTAGCCTATTCCTCACCATTTTATAGGGAAGAACTTGAAACTCAGAAATGTGAAGCAACTAGCTAAGTCACAGTGTTGGCAAGTGGCAAGCACAGCATCTTTCCCCTGCTCAAGAACACAGTGGTCCCCTAGTCTCTAAAACACCTCAAAGAAACTTCTAGGCTCTGGAGAAATCCTGGAAACAAGTAAAATGTCACAGAAAGAGCCGTTGGCAGAGAGAGAAGGCTATGTATGGCAGGAAGTCTGGGCTGGGAGGAGAGGAAAGTGCGAAGATCGAGGCAGGGCCAGGGAGGGGTGCTCTCTAGGCAGGAAGAGTGGGGAGTAGCCCCGAAGGCTGGCCTGGGCCTGCTCCAGGCCCTCGGGCATGTGGAGGAAGGAAGGTCAGAGGCGGTGAGTCAATGGCACAGACTGTGCCCAAGGCAGTGACTGCGTCTGGGTAAGTTGTCATTCTCTCAACCATGAGGATCAAGAAGGAAGGGGCAGGAGAGGGACAATGGGTCAGGGTGGGGTGGGGCTTCTTTTCTGGAGTCTGAGCAGAGGAGCTTCAACTCTTAGGGAGAGATACAGAGCAACCATTTGTCAAGGTGTAGCCAACAGAACACCCCCTTAAGGGACAGAACGGGCCAAACACCTGCCACAGCCACTCTGACCAGTTAGTAAAGACACTAGTGGCTGGGAAGATGGCAGAGCAGCTGTCCTGGGGAGGAGCAAGTTCCCCGGAAGGGAAGGAGCCAGCCCAGGCCCTGCCACATACTCACTAGGACTTGAGAGGATGTTGGCATCCTCCTCGTTGGAGCTCAACAGTCGCATCAATTTGGATGGCTGCGTGTCATCCAGCGGAAAGAGGCTGATGTAATCCTGGAGGGCAGGAGAGTCACTCAGACCTACCCTGAGCTCCAATCCCAGTCATCAGGGAGAGAACTGCAGCCCAGATTTGGGTGGGGAAGAGTCACTCCCCACAGCCACCACCCAGCTTCTGCAGGGGTTGCCTTCCTGCCCATCTCAATCCCTTCTCCTCGCCCCTGCACAGGGATGGCAAAAAGAAACATGCTCCCCTCTTCCAGGACGCCTGCCTCCAGACGGAAGGACCCTTTCTTGGACTTGCCTCTTGACCATTCTCAGCCCTAACACTGCTGCCCTGGGGACAGGGGCCATGTCTCATTCCCTATACTGCTAAGGTGAGACTTAGCAGCAAATGCTCAGTAAATATTCACTGAATAAACACACACACAGGTGAGCAGTGGGGTCCCCTACCTCGATGTCTTCACGGTGTCTCTTCTTTTGGCGGGATGATACCTGTCCCTTGTGGGAAGAGTAAGAACTCAGGGCGCACCACACAGCTAGCCTGGAGAAGCATTTACAAGAAGGGGCAGGGTTAGTGGGCGCTTCTGTGCCCGTGATGATCAAGCCCAGCTTATCGGGGGTGGGGGTGACACCAGGAGAGGGGTGTCTGAATCTATGGGACCGGGAACAGGAGGCCCCAGGGTGTGAGAGCAGAGCAGGCTCTGAAGTGGCCCCTACTTGGCAAGAGCAGTGCCTGGGGGGTCCATGAGACTGTGCCACTTGGAGGAGTCAGTGAGCAGGCCAGGCAGGACGTGGCCCAGCAGGACCAGGGTCACTTGTGGCATGTCCAAACAGAAGATGGAGTACAGCAGTTCCACCGCCCGCAGCGTGTGCTCCTTCCGGGTCTCCTTCAACAGCTCCTGGACAGGCAGAGGGGGGGGCAGCCGGGAGCTGGACATCCTGTCACTGCAACCCCTCCTCTGCCTCTCCCCGTGGCACTCCACCTTCACATCAGGGAGCCCCTCTGGGCTGCTCCATCTTCACTCCCCAGAGCCTCTGGCTGGAGCACCTGAGAAGGAGATCCCCTTGGAGCCTGGTGGCTCCTCGAGCAAGGCTCACAGCTTTTAGCAGACCACCCAGCTTACAACAGACTCCAAGAGAAGCCTGGCTAAGCAGGTTGAGTGACGGGGAGGGGAGGACCAGGTTTGGTCCATCAGGTATTTTCTTGCATCTCCATGTCTGAGGATACCTGCACCCCCCATCGATCTGGTCTGCACTCATCCCACTCCAAGTACCTTAATCAGGTTGTTGCAGAACCAGTAGACGCCGCCCATGTGCAGCAAGGTGTCAAAGATGTGGATGGAGCGGCTGTCCACCCACCCCTTCTCCAGCACCTTGGCAAAGATGTCTGTCAGCACCTCCTTGATGGGTCGCTTGGGGGGCAGCAGGTTCCAATAGGGCATGGTGTCCACGCCCGTGGATGGGAACTTGATCTGTGTGGCCGTCTGCTGCAGCACGTCAGCACACATGTGCTCCAGGATGGAGTTCATGATCACCACCCTGGGGGAGAAGAACACCTGAGGTTCAGGTGCCATACTGTGCCAGGGCAGTTAAGGACAGGAGATGGCCAGGCCAGACTTCTCCCTCAACTTGGGTTACGGAATTAACCCCATTCCGTGCCAGGGCAGGGGACAAGAGGAAGTTGCAAAGCCTAGCCGACGTGACCCCACCTCCTACTCCTGGCAAGACTCTCATCTGCTGGGCACCAAGGCTATCAAAAGGAGGGGGGATTTCCTCCCCTAGGTCATTCTAGCAGTGTATTAATTTTCTCTCTCGCTCGCTCTCCTTTTCCTTCCTCCAACCCAACGCCTGGGGCCCTGCCAACCTTCTGACATAAATAAATACAATCACTTCCCCCTGGGCTGTGTGCTGGGGGGTCTCCACCCAGACCTGGCTTCTTCCCAAAGTAAACAGTTACTTCCAGGAGAGGGGCCCCAAGGCTGCCCCACAGGACTCTTCCCGGCCTTCGGTAGCTGGGCAAATGTGAGTCTATATCCAGGAATGTTTGTAAGAAAATAGTCTCTAACTATGAATACTGATCTAGGTCTGTGTGCTTACCATGCCTGGAATGCTCAGTACCCAAAAACCCACTGCCACAGAGTCTATTCCAACTCATAGTGACTAAGGCTGTAAATCTTTACGGAAGGTGACCGCCTCATCTTCCACCTGTGGAGCAGCTTGTGGGTTTGAACCACCAAACTTCTAGTTAGCAGCCAAATGCCTTACCCCCTGTGCCACCAGAGCTCCTGGAATGCTGGGTGGCCCTGGGGAAGTTGCTATGTACGATGGAGCCATAGATTTCCCACTCCTCCTCACCCAGGTAGGTCTCAGAGCGCTTAAGAAGAATTATGCTACTCTAAGCATACTTGTGTGGGGAGCAAGGAGGAGAAATGGAAAAGGGAGGTAAGGAGAAAACAGGAGATGTGAATTTATAGACCCTCCCCAAATCTCATTCCAGCTAACATTTCCACTTCTCCTCAAAAGAATCCTCCATAGCTCCTTGTGAATAAACTAAAATGCAAATCCACTGCCACTGAGTTGATTCTGACTCACAGCAACCCTGAGGACAGAGTAGAACTGCTCCATAGGGTTTCCAAGGCTATAAATCTTTCCAGAAGCAGACTGCCTCATCTTTCTCCCATGGAGCAGCTGGTGGGTTAGAACCACCAACCTTTTAGTTAGTAGCTGAGTGTTTAACCACTGAGCCATCAGGACTCCTTCCACGTGAATAGTTACTCAAAACTTATTGGTGGGTGAGTGATCAACATGGTGGCACTGAGGAAGAGGTAAACAGAGAGAGGTACATGGGAGGAACAGACAACAAAGATGAACCCTTTCGTATATACAGTACTGAGTTATCAGTGAAGGCAAACATTGATCTACGGGTGGATAGATGAGTGGACAGGCTGAACTACTAGGTATGTCTATCCAGGTGGGAGTGTGCCCATGACCATGTATAGGGTTGGCGACAATGTTTCTACAAGTGTATTTGTATGTTCCGTAGAGCTGACAAAGGACAAGGTTGTAGTCACTTCTTGGCCACAATCAGCTACCCAGAGGGAGCAAATAGTTGGACCTGTGGGCTTGGGACCATAGTCACAGGGGACATCAACCTCAACTGGCATAACATACTACACAAAAGCATTGTTCCACATCCTACTTTGGCGAGCAGCAACTGGGATCTTAAAAGCTTGCAAGTGGCCACGCAGATGCAACAATGGGTTTCTCCCCCTCCACAGCAAAGAAGAATGAAGAAAACTAATGACACATGGAAACAATCCGTCCGAGGGACTGGTATACCATGCGATCCTGAACCTATGTGACTATGAGACCAGAAGAACTAGATGGTGCTCAGCTACCACTGTCAACCACTCAGAGGGGGAGAGGGGGATCTATGTAGGAGAACCTGGATAGAGAGGGAAAATAATGTGGAACAAAACTCAAAATCATAAAAAAAATAAAATAAAAGGGATCAGGTTTGCTGGTCTTAGAGTGCCTGGTGGAACCACTTAAGACTATGGCCCCTAGCTGCCCTTCAGGTGTGGAATTGAACCCACTCCTGTGGCTTCCAGCCAAACAAAAGACAGGCATATGAGCTGAACATTTACTTTAGGTAGATACACTCCTTAGAGAGAACAATCATGGGAAAATGGAAGGGCTCTATATGCACAGGGAGACTGCTTGGGGGGCCAGGAGTGCATGGGAGGGAAGGACAAAAGGAAGAGGTAATTATGGGGAGGTAACAGGAGGGGAGCTGTTGTATTGTGAGAAATTGCAGTCAATGTCATGAGACAAAGTGTATGTGAGCTGCTGTATGGAAAATGAATTTGCTCTGTAAACTTTCACCCAAATCACAATAAAAATAAAAAATAAAAAAAAACCACCTTATTGGTGGGTGAATGATCCAACACCAATGAACTCAACATAGCTGAGGTCATTAAGGAGTTCCTCCAAGCCCCTGCAAAGCCAAGGCAGGAAAATATCACAAAGACAGCTTGGGGAGTGGGAGGAAGGCCCAAGGCCCATAAAATCTACAGATGGGCTCATAGCTCCCAGATGGTGGTACAAATAATCACTTTGCTCTTCTGGTGAGGTAGTTCTCCAGAACTTGAGCTCTTTGAGGGCAGGAACCATAGCTATTTGGGATCTGTATTTCTGGCACAGAGCAGTGCTGGGCTATAAACACTCCCAGCACCAAAACACACACCAAATGTTTGCTGGGTCATGAGTGAGAATGTAAATAAGACAGCGAGGGAGTGAGGGAGTGAGGCGGGCAAGTGAACAGTGTGTTAAGGGAGAGAAGAGAAAGATATTGGTTACAGCAGTTACTGACCTCTCATGGCAAGCAAGCCCCACAGGGTTCAAGAAGGGAGGGGACGAGTCACTGACCTCTCATTGTAGAACTGCAGGGTGTTCTCATTATACAGTGGCCCTGCCAGCTGGCGGATCATCTGCAGTGACTTCTCACGTTCATCCAGTCCCAGCATCCGGACGTGGGCCACAAGCCAAGCCACAGCACACACCGCCAGACTGCATACCTTTCCCTTGATATTATCTGTGATTTTCTAGGAGAAAGGGAAAGGGTAACTCGGGCTACCATCTCCTCTTCTCTGGCCTTCACTTTCCCTGGCTTCTGTGGGCAACTATGTAAGGTGGAGTCCTTGGCCACATTCCACACTTCTCTCTACCACAACTTTGATTTTCAGGGGAAGTAACTAGGACTAGGATGGCAGAGAGGACTGACACCAATAACATGGGCTCTTAGATTAAGGGTCTTCTTGTTACAAAATATCATGAACTGTCAAAGACTGGCTCTGGGTCTACAGCTCTGGAGAAATGCTCCTGAGAGAATGGACTACCTGAATGGACTCGAAGGCCAATACTCCATTCTCCCAGGCATTGAGGATTTCCAAGATGGCCGCTGAGATGCTGAGACAGGCTTCATGCCACTTCATCTGCCTACAGGTTAAGGAGGGTATGGGAGAAAGATCACCACAGGGGGGCAGGAAATAGGCTTAGAGGAGAAGCTCTTGTCCCCTGGGCCCCATCCCCCACCCTTGGAGGGGGTGCCCAGGCCACTGACACCAGCTTCATCTCTGAGAAGTTGTTGAGCAGAGCCACCAAGGACTCCACTTTGATAGAGTCTGGTCGGAAGCAGGGGTGGTCAGGGTTCAGGATCTTGCCCTCCTCGGGCATACAAGTCTGCATCCAGGTCTCAAAGAAGGGCACCTCTGTTGCTGTGCTTGACTCGGACAGAATCACCTGGGAGAGGGGACAGGAAGAGGCACCAACTGAATTGGGAGGGCTCAGCACCTGCCAGGGCTGGGCCTCACTGCACCTTAATTTCCTGCCACACTGCCACTCCCTTCCCAGGCTCAAGAAATGAGGACAAATGGGTCTCTAGAGGAAGACAGGGGCTAAGCTGCCACCTAGTGGTCAGTGTGGATGTGACTAAAGGATTCTGGACAGGATGAGTGGCATCTACTTGCTTTGCCCAGATGAACACCTGACTTCTGAGTTCAGCAGAACCAACTGGCTTATGGGACTAGGAGAGGGTGGTGCCTGAGGTGGGCAAGAGCTGTTGGTTGTCTCCTTCCCTTTACTCCCGCCCACTGGGCACTCCCTAATAGCGTCTGCTCTCCCCTCACTCACCTCTGAGCCGTAGGTCTGGGCCACATGGCACAGCATGAGGAAGGAGATGTCAAAGAGTAAGGCACGAACTGAGGCTAGTTTGGCTGTGGGAAGGATAAAAAGGCTGACCCCTCTGCCGAGGGCAGGGCCCAAAGCCCTTGTCTGGGTTGAGAAGGTACCAGAATTTGCCTTCAGGAAGGTCAGGGACCAAGTGGCTCTTTCAAAGCCCAGAGGCTCAGAATCCTTTTCTTGAGACTCAATTGTAACATCATTCCTTCCTTGGAGTCAAAAAAGTCCCTGGACCTTCCTTTCCCCCCATACCCACCCAATCATAAAGTGAGGACAGAGACAAATGGGTGGTTTTAGATGATCTCTTTGCCCAGTATCACCCTCTTTCAAAGCTCCCCCAAAGCTTCAATCAGTCTTCACTCAGGGGAGGAAACAAGGCCTCCCCATCATGAACAGAAGTGTCCCCCTCCCGTTTGCTCTCCTCCACTCCCCACCTTCAATGTGAATGGGGCCTGGAGATGCACAGAGTTCACTTACGGCTTTCTTCACTGGCTTGGGTGGTGAATTCATTCAAGCTGGAAGAAATGGAGACAAGTCACATCAACCAGGGCAAGAGAGGAACAACAGCTGCAGGCCGCCACCCTGAGAGGTGGTCACAAGTCTGAATTATGGAGTAAACATGAAATGAACACCAACTCTTAAAAAAAAAAAACAAACACTGCCATCGAGTAGGATCCGACTCATAGCAACCCCTCCTTGGGTTTCTGAGGTAGTATCACTATGGAAATAGATTGCCCAATCTTCCTTCTGAGGATTGGCTGGTGGGTTTGAACCGCCAGCCTTCTGGTTAGCAGTCAAATGCCTTAGGCACTATGCCATCAGAGTTCCCATCCACAGGAAAAAGAATTACTTGTATCAATTTGTAAAATATTTCCCAGGCCTAGAGAATGGCTTGCTGAATAGAGCAATGCTCCATACATCAAATTCCAGGTCAACCGAAAAGATCAACAGAGTTTGAAAGCCCCTTGTTAATAACTGGGCACTCACGAAACTCCCCCATGCCATTGTTCAACACTTTGTCACTTTACCAGGAACCTCCACTCCACCCTCAGGTGAAGAGAAGTGAGCACTTCAAATCACAGAGCTTCCTCCAAGTCTTCAGCTGGGGTGCTCTGCCTTGGCCTGTGCATCTCCGTAAGAGACCCAGACCTGAGTGCCTCGCTCTATCCTGCTACCTCTTCCCTTCAGACATCCTCCCCCACCCCATTCAGGGACCCGGCCTTCCTTACTTGATGAATTTCCGGGCAAAGGATTTCAGCTTCCCAGTGGCTGCTGCAGCTGCCAGCAGCAAATCCAGACTCTTCCCAGACAGCATGTGACCAAGGACCCCCAGGAGTCCCTCTGGGGACTTGGAGTGATCAGCATCCATCGTCTGGTGACAGGAAAAGAAATCAAGTGCTAAAGACCCCCAGACACAGCCTAGCCACATTTGCTCTCTGTAGGTAAATGGGACACCATGACATACAAGTTCATCTACATCTTTCTGACTCCAATCTAGAAAATCACTCCTAAAAATCTACACTTGTGCTCTCCCCATCCCTATCAACTAAATGGAGATGAAAGTGGTAGGGCTGGGGTGGGAGAAGTCACCACTATGAGGTTCTCTGCCATTCCCACATGAGGTGATGTTAAATGAAAGCACCTACCACAATGCCTAGTATACAAGCGATGGCCGATAATGCTAATTTTTGATGGTAATAGCTTCCCCTATTTTCCCCCTTTCTCTACCTTCCAAAGCAACTATATATAAAAGGCAGACAGGAAAGAGGCCTATGCTTCTGTTTATCTGGAAGTAGAAGGAGAGCTGGAAAAAGGAGAGAGGTGACATTGGTGGCAAGGGACAGGTACACTCACCTTGAGGATGTTGGTGACAGTGGGCTCCGCCCTGAGGATCAGCCCAGGATTGGGCTGGACATTGGCATTTTCTGTGGATTTCAGCTGGGGTGCATGCTCCCGGTCTGCTGTGCTGTGGCCATAACCAGTTGGTCAAGAGAAGGAAGAGAAAAGGGTAAATTCTTGACATATTCCCAGTTCAAGCCCAAAAGCAAAGACACAGAACTGGTGGGAGGCACCTGAGAATCTTTGGGGTGGGGGTGAAGAAAGCACAGTCAACACTGGAATCACTTCAATTCATTTATCATTATGCCTATTTTAAAAGCTCATTTAAGATTAAAGGAAAGTTTAGGATTCTCACTTTGATCACAAAGGTGGGTTTGAATTAGAAAACAACAGGTAAGAGTATAAAAATATGGTATGACGAAATCAATGGCTTCTCTTCCCTCCTGGTCAGTGTAACCCTAGGCATGGCTCCAGTCACTGCACATCAACCTCTACAGAGGAGGGGTAAAGGCAGCGGCAGCACAAAGGAGCTCATACTTACCGTTTAGCCACAAGGTTGGTCACACTGGCTTCAGACAGAAGCCCTTGCTTGCTACATTCTTGGAGGAGGAATTTTGTACAGTTACAGCTGTGAGGGAAAAGAAGAACGAAGTACATAGCTGGGATTTTTGCTACCAGTATCTATGCCCCTTCAAGATGAGGAAACCCTTGAGTAGCTGAGGAAAGCAGAGGGGTTCTGGTACTCGCAGCTATGGGCCTGCTGCCTCCTGCCCCTGCCAAGGGGAGTGAATGAGGAGAGTCCCCTGGGACTTTATCTGGCACAGAAGAGCAGGGGAAGAGGCCAGAACACCTTCCAGCAAGCAGGGGAGTACGTACTTGCAGCGCTGATCAGCTTTGTCCAGCAAGGGGGTAAGCTTCAGCAGGAACTCAAAAGCACAGTTGATATCCTCAGTGAAGTCCTGTGAGGAGTCAGAAGCTTCCATCTGACTTCCAGGTCAAGTCCACCCACACCCTGCACAGCAGGCTCCCAAGGGCACCTTAGCAGCTAGAAAGGCCCACAAGCAGACCATGCCCACCACCAGCTAGTAGCTGGGTAAGAAGCAATGAGGGATTACCGCTCTCCACATGGCTACCCATGGTCACCTCAGACTCAACCCTGCCTCCTGGGGAAATCGCCTGAGGTCTGACTGGCTGCCTTCTGTCTGGAGACTGAATGCAAGTGCATGGATGCGTGTAGATGCTCAGGGATACACGTGCTTCCAGCCTTGCCACAGGCCAGAGAACACGCTACTGCCTGGCTGGGGTCTAAATGACCCTTCCCTTGGCCCAGTTCCTCCAGGATGGAAATGTCCTCCCCTAATCCCATGCCAGCCTATCTCATTCCTTCAACTCACCTTGTCCCCATGAGAGTACTTCTTCAGCTTCACCAAAACCTGGGGAATCTAGGGGGCAAGGCAGGGGGACAAACAGGAAGATCAACATCTTCTTTCACCTAGAACTGAAGCAACTCCTCTTTCCCCTGCTCTGGGCAGAGATACAGGAACACTCCTCCCAGGGAAGGAAACCACTCTTAGAGCTGAATCAGAAAGGTGATGGGTATCCAAGTGCCTGATGCTCCCAGCCTATAGGACACAGACCCCTCACTTCTATTGGCTTAACAGGAAATGCCACAGCAAAAGTAGAACCCCACTTCAAGGAAGATTGGGACCACTTTTCCCCTCTCTCTCTCTCTTTCCTGCCCTGCACCGAGTTGGCTGATGACTGAACTAAACAGGGTCTCTGTGGTCAGAAACAACAGAATTCTGCCAAGTGGCCGAATGCACCCTGGGACTTCCAGAGAAGAACCGATGGGAACTCAGGCTGGAAGACCTGCAGGCTGGGCATGATGCCTATAGGGAGAAACATGGGGCGGAGGCCCAGGGTATCCCCACTTCCCCTAAGCCATTCCTGGAATTGCTGTTACTCCCTTGCCCCAAGGTACCTTGAGGAAGGTAAAGGCTGTCCACTTGAGCTCCTCTGTACCCTCAGGGGACTCAATGAGCCCCACAAAGCAAGCTTTCCAGATCTCCAAGACAAAGAGGGGGGTGGGGATATGCTGTGGGAAGATTCAGAGGTGAGGGTAAGAAGGCGGCCCATAACCCCTTCATCCTTCTGATGGCTCCTGGAATCAGATGGGGTCAGATGTGGCACAGCACAGTCATGTCCCCAGCTCTAACACTGAGAACAAGGGACATATGGTGAAATGACAACACCGTGCAGGACTGGGGCCCATTTTCCATGGGAATCAGAGAAACCCTATGTCCCCAAGAAGGATCAGAAGAATCCCCTCTCGTCCCCACATGGCAGACTCATCTTAAGGAGAAAAAGGCAACTCTGTCCCCTCCCACTGCACAGCCTCCCACCTGCATGCGTTTCACCATCATCAGCTGCTCCACCAGGGGCTGTGTTTCGCCTGTCAGGTTCATGGTTCCCTCGAGCAGGACTACTGCATGGACCGTGGGGAAGCCAGTCTTGTGCAGTTGCTCTGAGTGCACAGACAGCATCGTGGGAATACTGAAGGCAACAGAAACAGAGGACACGTTTGGGAGCTCAGGAGAGTTGGAGATGAAGTGAGAGCAGAGGAGATGATGGGGCCTGGTGTCACATCTTCCCACGCACATGCTAGGGCATTTGTTTTCTCTCTCCCTTCACTACAATGCACCCTGGGCACCAGGTACCTCCTAATGAGTGTGCCACACTGCTCAGCCTGGCTCCGGAGCTGAGGGTTGCTGAGATTGGCCAGGATCTCCCCAACCTTCAAGAGTGAATGCTCGATGGCAGTCCATGAGGCTAGTGGGGAAAGGAAAACGCAGAAACATGATATAAAACAGAAGAGGGATAGAGACTGGCCCCACACTCCTTGATTTTGGCCTCCTCTAGGGCCACAAAACCACACAGGGAGGCTTCCTTTGAGGATGACAGGGAGGCCAGGGGCCTGAAGGGCAGCATGCACTTTTTCTAGAAGGGGAGTAAACACCCATGGCAAAGTCCCTAGAAACTATTTCCAAAGGCCTAACTTCAAGGGGATTCATCTAGTCAACTTCAGAGACCAGGTGTGACCTGACACAACAGAAGAGAGAGACAGAGGAAGGTGAGATGATCTAGTGGCTGGAACAGGGAGGGTGTCCACAAATCACTTTAGGCATAGGCCAATCCAAAAAGCCACCCTTGTAAATGGCCCTCACTCTCCATTCTAGCCAAGCTGGGCTCCTCGTCTGGGCTCTTGCTGCTTTCTTCATCTCTCAAAATTCCACCATCCTTCAAGTGTCTGTTCAAGCCTCAGCTCCTTAACAACTTGCCTAAGTGATTTCAACTGATCTCTCCCCTAGATGCCTGTACCCATGGTCTACACACATTACTTAGCACTTAATTATAAGTCATTTATCCTAGTTACAATCCCAGAGAGTCAATGATGAATAACGATACCAGCTAGCCTATTAACCTTCATGTAGCATAGGAAAAAAGCAAAAACTCAAAGGCCTGAGGTCTATTAAAAATAAGCATTCATTCATTTCACAGCCAATAAACGTTTATCAAGAAACTGCCAACATAACCCATTTTACACACTATCTTTCTGGACCTCATGGGCAATCAAGCTTGCTTTGAGAAGTAATGAATATAATAACCTGTAACAGGTTCTCCTACTAGGTCCTGAAGACCTGTATACCCATTCTAGCATTCTAGTCACTGGAGCATAAGAACCCTTAGGTGGTTCCAAGCCATGGCAAGATTGTGGCCTTAGGGCCCTGTGTTCGGAAATACCGGGTCTTCCCTCCCACCAGGTGATCTGTCTATTCTCAGGCTCTGGAAAGTTCTAACATTTAACATCTGAACTTTAGTTGAGGTAGATGGCACAGCAGGCCTGACAGCAGACAGCTGCGGTGTTGAAAAGGGTGTTTGAGGTAACAGTCAAGTGAGAGAGCCATGCGCTTTCAGAGGATGAGTAATATGGAGACAACCACAAGGAGGGCCTGTGTGCCTGTCCTGTCCTCTCCATTTTTCCATGTTTACTATGTACTTGTCTTGCTCCCCAACTAGTAGCTTGTTGAGGGCAGGAACCTGCCACATGCTTCTTTGGTAGCCCCCCACCCCCCGCCCCTAGCACCTGGCACAGTGCTGGGCATACAACAATGCTCAGTAAATACCTGTTGGTTGATTGGCTCTGGTGCCACCCTGCCCAAGTCCCTGGGATGTATGCAATGCTTATGGGGAGAAAAAAAAGGAAGTGGGATGATTTCAGATCCTCCTGGAAAGAAGTGGGATGGCATCCTGCCTTTCCCCTCTCAGTTAAAGAACCAGCTATGGGAACAGTGACAGGTGGGGCTCACGGGGCTCAGGGCACATACAGGCCTCCTCGAGCTTGGCAATGTGGAGTAGGGCCCGGTTCTTGGTGCTGCTGAGAGTCTTCTCCAGGCGCTGAAGGCACATGGCCAGCTGCTTCTCCCCTGCAGCTGGGGCTCCAGCCTCCAGCCCCTCCCGGAGGCGCTCTGCAGAGGCTGCAGTGCAGCGCAGCAGCCAGTGGAGGGCGCTGAGAAGGGCTCGGCACAGCCCAATGCATTCTTCAGCTTTGCCATGACAGCTACCAGGAAAGGATGCAAAATCTGTCTCTGCTCTGCCAGCTGAAATCTGACCAACACCTAGATCTCCCACTCTCAACCCCCATCCCTGGCACTCCCCTAGCAAAGCTCCAGGGAAGACCCAGTCCAATCTGTTTCTACTGGACAAGATTTCAAATGGGCTACTTCAAACAGAGTAGAGGTCATCTATCCTAAGGGAATCAGCTGAAAAGAATGGGGCTGGGCAGATGGGAAGTGGAAATGTGGAAACCCACAGAATCGGTCTCAGTCTATGTGCTACAGGTTTCTTCCCTCACTAAGACAATGCTGGATGGTTGAAAGCCTCCTCAGCCCTATTTTAATTAATTTCATTCTAATAAATTTGAATTACCTCAGTCGATCACAGAACATGTCCATGATGTCCAGCAATGCTTGGACACACAGGTCTCGGGAAAAGTCATCAAACTGTAGAAAGAATAATAGAGATGCTATGGAAAGTCCCAGCCAGCCCTGCAGTCTCACATGAGGCAGATGATACAGCTCAGGATTCCTGCTCAGCTTTCTTCCAAGTTTCAGACTCAGCATCCTTTTGACATTAGAAATCAGTTCCTAACTGCCAACTCCCTCTTTCCATGATCCCCCTCCTTCCAATGGAAGGCCAGTAATCCCAGCCAGAGACTAGAGCAGGCATGGAGGCAAGGCCCTTGTCCTTCACCTTCCTACCTCTATCCCCCTCCCCACACCTAGCCCATGAGGGGCTACGGTCATACCTTACTGATAGCTGTGAGGACAGAGGAGTAGGACACCATCTGGAGGGAAGGAAGAAAGACAAAGCACTGGCTTGAGTAGTGTTCAGATTATTAGAACCCACAGCAGAGAGGAGCCAACACTGAGGCTTAAAGTTGCTGCAGCTCCTCTGTACCCTCAGCCCCTCCAAGAGGCCTCCTCCACTCATCCAGAGAGACAGGAGCACTATGCATCGTCCCCAATCCCTCTTCTATCAGACTCCAGAAGAGTGATTTTTATTCAGGTAAGAACTAGAGACAAATATTTCCTGCACTGAACATTTCAAGGCAGTGAATTTCATTATACAAACTCTTACTTATTCCCTAGGGCTTACTGTATCTCCTCCAGGACACCTTCCCTGATCAATTCCCACTCCGGCATCCCGCCCAAAGCTGAAATCCTCCCTCTGTGCTCCAAGCAATCCCTTTATAGCCATCATTACATTCACCACATGTAGCAGTGCCTGTCACCCCCATTGAATTAGGAGCTCCTTGAGGACAGGGGCTCTTTGTTTCTTACTGCTACAAAGTTGATAATGTTTATAGAATGAATAAATAAAACACACCCTTAGATCAACATTTTCCAAAGTACCTTCCAAAGCTTCGCTGTCCAACAGGGAAGTCACTAACCACATGTGGCTGCTTTAATTTAAATTAATTAAAATGAAAGAAAATTAAAAATTCAGTTCCTTGGTCATACTAGCCACATTTCAAGTACCCCAAAGCCACATGTGGCTAACAGCTCCTGAACTGGATAGCACAGATACAGAACATTTCTATCACTGCAGAAAGCTTTACTGGACCACACTGTTCCAAGGTTCCTTAGGCTGTCAAAAAATTTTACACAAACACACACACAGCTTCTCTGTGAAATGAACTTGAGAAACATGGGATTAAACAAACAGACCAAAAATCAATTGCCATCAGGCTGATTCTGACTCATGATGATCCCATGTGTAAGAGAACAACTGTGGTCCAAAGGGTTTTCAATAGCTGATTTTCAAAACTAGATGACCAGGCCTTTCTTCTGAGTGCTTGTAGGTGGATCTTAAGCCTCCAACTTTTTGGTTAGCAGCCAAGCATTTTAACCATTTGCAACTGAGCTTTTTTTAATTGCAGGACTTCTCAAAGCCATAACAGAGTTGTATATAATGAAAATCTCTATGATGAATGGAAAATAAAGCAAGCAACGCTTTTCAGCTTATCTGAACAAGGAATCTGACTTGACTATTTCTAAAATACACCTTAGGAGATTCTACCTGAATGGTGAGCTCCCTGAAGACAGAAATACTGTTGAATCTATGTTTCTCTAGTACCTAACCCAAGTACCGGCTAATAGTAGGCTTGCAGTAGGTTTTTATTGCTTTGAATTGATAAAGTCTATTAACTAAGTAAGGAGCCCTAGTGGTGTAGTGGTTAAGGCACTTGGCTGCTAACCATAAAGTCAGGGGTTCAAACCAACTAGCTGCTCCGTGTCAGAAAGGTAAGGCAGTCTGTTTCTATAAAGATTTACAGCCTTGGAAACCCTATGGGCAGTTCTACTCTGTCCTATAGGGTCACTATGAGTTGGAATGGACTCAATGACAGTGGGTTTTCCAGTTATTAACTAAACGAATTCTGAAAAACTTTATCTTGAAAAAAATTTGTTAGTAAAATCTATTCATCATCATCAGCAGATTGGAGATCTATTTCAAAAGAAAAAAATAATTTGCCCTGACAAAATTAAACCTTCCAGAAAATATTTTGTCATATTTTTATATTTATATATATATATGTGTGTGTGTGTGTATATATATATATATATAGTTGTTGTTAGGTGCCATTGATCCCATTCCAACTCACAGCAACCCTGTATACAACAGAACGAAACACTGTCCAATCCTCCGCCATCCTCACAACTGTTGCTATGCTTGAGTCCATCGTCACAGCCACTGTGTCAATCCATCTTGTTGGGAGTCTTCCCCTCTTCTTTACCAAGCATGGTATCCTTCTCCAGAAATTGGTCCCTTCTGACATGACCAAAGAATGAGAAACAGAGCCTGGTCATTCTTGCATCTAAGAAACATTCCAGCTGTACTTCCTTGTTTTGATTCTCTAGTGCTGCTATAAGAGAAATACCACAAATGGATGGCATTAACAAACATGTATTTGTTCTCTTACAGTTTAGGAAGCTAGAAGTCCGAGTTCAAAGTGCCAGCTCTAGGGGCTGGGTGAAAGCCCCTTGACCTTGGGTTTCAGCTCTGCCTCTTTGTTCCCAGCCCAATGGAGCTGGAGGCATCTCTTAACTCATGCAGCTGCTAACTGCTGAGGCTGACAAACCCAAGGTCAACAAGTAAAATGGTACAGTCCAAAGACTATCAAGCAACATGGCAGGCCATTAGTTCAAGTCCAAAAACAGTCCCCAAATCGGCAGACAACATGGCAGGCCACTCACTGATGACTCAGCCAAAGGCAAGATCTAGATGTGCCAAAAAAAAAAAAAAGCCCTCAAGTCTTTCTCAAAGCATCTTCTTATACACTGGGAGCAGACCACATCCCTAAAGCAGCTACTCATCTGCTCACAATAGATTCCACTATGGAGCTGATTACCAGTCCCATCATAGGGAATAAATACATTCAGCTATCCAGCCACTCAAAACCAGGCCCAGCTACAACCTTAACTACCACACTCCTTGAAGACAGATTTGTTCATTCTTCTGGCAGTCCATGATACATTCAATATTCTTTGCCAACACCACAATTCAAACGCATCAATTCTGCAGTCTCCTTTATGCATTGTCCAGTTCTCACATGCATATGAGACTATTGAAAATTCCATGGCTTGGGTCTGGCTCATTTTAGTCTTCAAAGTGACATCTTTGCCCTTTAACACTTTAAAGAGATCTTTTGCAGCAGATCTGCCCAATACAATACAACATCTGATTTCTTGACTGCTGCTTCTATGGGCAGGAGCTCTGGTAGCACAGTGCCTAAGGCACTTGACTGCTAACCAGAAGGCTGGTGGTTCAAACCCACTAGCCACTCCTTGGAAGGAAGGTGGGGCAATCTACTTCTGTAGTGATATCACCTCAGAAACCCAAGGAGGGGTCGCTATGAGTCAGGTATGACTCAACGGCACATAACAACAAGAAGCTTCCATGGGCATTGATTGTGGATCCAAGCAAAATGAAATCCTTGACAACCTCAATCTTTTCTCCATTTATCATGAGGTTGCTTATTGGTCCAGTTGTGAGGATTTTTGTTTTCTTTATGTTGAGGTATAGTCCATACTGAAGGCTGTAGTCTTTGATCCTCATCAGTAAGTGCTTTTAAGTCCTCTTCATTTTCAGCCAGCAAGGTTGTATCATTTGCATATCATAGACTGTTAATGAGTCTTCTCCAATATCTTCTTCATATAGTCCAGCTTCTCAGATTGTTTGCTCAGAACATAGATTGAGTAAGTATAGTGAAAGGATACAACCCTAACACGCACCTTTCCTGATTAAAAGCACACAGTATCCTCTTGTTCTGTTTGAACGACTGCCTCTTGGTCAATGTACACGTTCCTCATGAGCACAATTAAGTGTTCTGGAATTCCTATTCTTCATACTGTTATCCATAATTATCACATGCTGTTGACTATGAGTAATACTACATAAAATAGTTATGATGTTGTTGTTGTTGTTGTTATTGTTTGCCGTCGAGTCGGCCCCGACTCATAGCGACCCCTCCTTGGGTTTCCGAGGCAGTATCACTACGGAAGTAGGATCGCCCAACCTTCCTTCCGAGGAGTGGCTGGTGGGTATGGTGCACTCAAAATCAGAGACAAAATACACCAAAACAGAAAAGCAGAATACAATGACAGAAACTGTCAGCATAATCACCAGCCTGCTGGGCCATCTCTGCTAGAGGAGTGGCAGTCCCCAAAGCTTTAAGAAGAAAGCTAAGCCAGCCCCGATGAGCTCAGAATGGTAAATTTTACATACACAACAATTCCATGTATAGTTTCTTCATCAAGTAAACGGACTGCTCTCTGTTCAGACATCTTTAACCAGTATTCTTGGATGAACAGGAGCAAAACACAGACTTAAATATACAATCACTGTTTAGCACCACCATCAGCGGGATACACTGTGAAGCTGGAGCTCGTGTCTGACAGTCATCAGAGAGTTGGGAGCCTGCCCAGGCAGGATGACCGTAACGTTCCAGGGCAGTGTTTGCTTATTTATAACTGATGTCCCCATAGTGAGATCTTGGCAGAGAACTGAACCTTGTTGGATAGCAACCTGTAGGGGGAGTTGAATGTTCCCACTAAAAACAAAACAAAACAAAAAAACCAAACCCAAACTCACTGCCATGAGGTGCATTTAGACTCATAGTGACTAGGACAGAGTAGAACTGCCCCATAAGGTTTCCAAAACTGCAAATCTTTACAGGAGACTGCCACATCTTTCTCTCATGGAACAGCTGGTAGATTCACACTGTTGACCTTTTGGTTAGCAGTCTACTGCTTCAACCACTATACCACAGGCTCCCACTAGAAACTGACCCCCAAACTACCAGAATAGAAACCTCAAATTCTGTATGTTCTGAGGAGTTACATTAGTTCCAATGAATTTCTGGTCTTCACATTCAGAATCTTGTTAAGTAAATTTTTGTTAACTGTCTCAATAAAGCACTGCTACTCCAGGGACCTAAAAATACTTTCCACATGGTGTGCTGTTTTTCACAGCAGGCAGGATTCAACCTATTCCAGAGTTAATATTTCTATCAACATACAAGCTCTAAAGCACTACAAGCCCCCAGAGGTAGAGACCATCTGTGTGGCCCACAGCACATGCCTCACTCAGACCCAGCGTCCCTGACAGTGATGCTACAGCTGCTCCCTAATCCTCTCTGCTCTTCTTCATATTCAACACCCCTAACTCCTCCTAAGTGTCCTCTGCATGCACAACACTGGACCAAAGAGCCTCCTGACTAGAGGAAGTTACTAACTTTGCATGGCAATTTGCAGGCCACAAAGGTCTTTCGTGTGTGCTTTTATT